AGATGGGCCAGACTTTTGAACAACAGGTAAGATGTATCATGAAATGAGGCGAATTTATGTTGCTACTGGTCAGGTGGTGTACTGCTAGTGCAGCATTTCGCATCATGATATACCGCAAAACTAGAATTGACATCACAAATCTAGCAAAACACATTATATTTAACATTATAAGAGCTCAATTTGACATTGGATATTTCAAGAGACTTTGAATCTTACTTTGAACCATTGAATATGCTAAATTGTTCGGTCTCCTGCAGTGATACTACCTAGTAATTACATCAAATTCAAATGTTGCGCTGGAAATGGAGAAACCATAGGTTTAGAACATATTAAATCAGTGTTATCAAATTTAGATGACAAGAAGATGGTCGCTCTTGATTCTTTTCCCCAATTTGAAGATCTGAACTGGGACTCGGATCAATTATCAAAAGACGTGAAAATTTCCCAATGGTACGTAACCTCGCAAGTGTCTTTTAAAAGTCTTCTTCAATAACAACCGAACTCTCGGGAGTAACCCCAAAAGGCCCAGCTTCTACAACGCATCTTGAATCATGGCCTGGTAGATTACCAGTTTGAAAGAAACGATAAATCTTCTCATTTGCACAGGAATTGTTGGCCGCCATCGAAGTGTGCTATATCAATTAGAGGAAGCTAGCACGGAGGAAATATGGAAGTACTTACGCCGATAGCTTCTATAGTGAGTATTTGAGCATCTTTGAATCTTGGTGCCCATTTGTGACTACTGTAAAGAAAATACTGGTCAATTTGCTAACGATGCCAGAGGAGAAGAGTGGACTTACTTTCCAATAGGGGTGGCTGGATCGAGAGTATTACTGATGAACAAAATCGGATTCTTTGTGTCACCACCAAAGGGACCTATGATGATCAGTCAAAGCTAATCAATTTTGGCACTTAAACTTACCAGAAAATCTCCAAGATGCAGTGATAGGCCATCCTGAACATAGCACTAGAGTCGTGGCCCATATTTCTCCAGCCAAGAAGCTTTCCTCTTCAATCGTGTCGATATGTGATTGGAGTTCTTCGTATGTCTTTCCATAAACTGAAGGAATTTCACCACAGAATGCACCAATAAACCATTCAGTTAGTTGAGGAACAGTGCCTGTAATATTGGCTGTTGTGGTGCCAATATTACTTGCAGCTTCGATTGCGGCGATGGTCAAATTTGAAAGAGTCGCTTCGTAAGCGATGAGCTGAGTAGTGAGTATGGGAAAAGATTTGATAGGTGTATAGGCTGTTAATCTGACTGTGGATTTGATGGATTCGAGAGATTCTTGAATCGTGGTTGCGTTTGTCCAGTTTTGGGAGAAAGCGTATGATGCGTTGAGTGGAATGAAGATGTTTTCTAAGCGAGCACGGATATCTTCAGAGCTGTTACCTGTGTAGAAATCACAGATTGAGGGACCGGCCAAATGACAATATGTGAAGAAGGAGTTAATAACAGCATCCTCCAAGTAAATGTCCTTCAGTTCCGTTCCGGAAATATAATCCTCGGGATCGACAACACCTGGGACAAATTAGTGCTGGGAATCTGGTAGCTTACATCCAACATACCATCAATTGCAACACGGCCAACTCGGTCTGGGTACATCGACGCAAATGTTTCACCAATGAAGGATCCATAACTAAAACCCCAATAGTTGAGCAAAGATGACGAGTTGACACCTTGACCACGTTCTGTCTTGACAAAAGCATCAACAATATTGAGCATATCTGTAGCAAGAACCGCTGTAGACATATGTGGCCCAGCCTCATCAGGTCCTCCCATTGTTGCATTACATTCCGCTCCAAAGCCCAATGCAGTTTGAAACTCCTCAGTCCAATAGGAAGTATCCAATTCCGGTCCCGAAAGCTCGAAATGCCGTCGACGGAGTTTGGATGAACTGGAAGATGAGCAATCTGCGAGCGGAATACTACGACCCATTCCTCTGGGGTCAAAAGCTACAATGTCATAGTTTGTTCCTACTACCGGAAGTAGAACTGAGTAACCATCTTCGAGGAGAAAATCAACACCTGCATTACCAGGACCACCTAGAAAATTTAAATATCAGTTATGAAGTAAAAAGAGAAGATAAAAGGAACGGGAAGTATACCTGGATTAGTGAGGAGCATTCCTTGATATTCGCCATCAGTTGAATTACTCTGAGCGGCTATCATGATTAATGGAACGGAAGCACGTGTTCCGTTTGGCTTGGAATAATCAAGAGGAACCTGCAGTTCAGAATGTCAACTTCCGGGAGTTAGAATTTCGTTTGACGGGGGTGGCTCACATCCAACATGGCGCAGGAATAGTCCCAAAAGCATGGATACCAGATGAGATCAATTGAAGCTGGAATCTAGAAGATGATAAATTAGTAGGGATTTGCGTGGTAGTCTTTTCTGGCTGGGGGAGGGGTCATGAGGTGTACACACTCCATCGAACGTCCATTGTTTGGTCGAATTACTAACTTGACTATCCTTTGGCAGAACAGAAGCAGTTGCTAAAGAAATACCAAGTGCAACACAAATGCTAACTGTTGAGATGTGATGAGCCATGATTGTATTTTTTGTAAATTTAGGTGCGTGATATTGCGAGTAGATGCTGAATAGATGAGAAGAGAGAATTCATCGATTAGAGACCGAATCCTATCTTTATAGCCATGGCCATACATCTCGGAACCATATGGAGTAGGGGAAATACGACTAAAATTCGTTGAAAGCAAGATATAGTGTCTCACAAGTATCTGCATCTAGTTCTATAAAGCGTGACAGAAAACGTCGTGATGAAGAACATCAACCACGATATGACCAATAGAATGTAGGCAATACTTGACTTGAGGGCACTTATTGGTTGATTTTTAGTCAGAGCATGTCAGGGTTTTAAATGAGTTCTATCCGGATGTATAGTTGAGCTCCGGTATGATTCGATAAAGGGTATCGATAAAATAAGATCTTACCTACCTAGTGCAGATCCACCCCCCCGTTTTCCGTGAATTCTCACAGGTCACGTGAAGCGACAGTTTTTCTCCGACTCGGGAGGTCATCTTTCCACAAAGTCAGGGAGATTAATTGTTGATCAATTTATTCAATTCATTCATATTCTGGGTCATGATATATTCATTGGATAGTTTTATGTGATTTAGATGGGATTTATGTGTTCTTCGATTTTGATGCGAAGAAGAAAACGAGCGACCTCTTAATCATATTTTTTATATAATTTGTCGCAAAACTCAAGCGTTTGTTTAGTCATACAAGCTAATGCGATGGGCGTACCCCGTTTGTCAAATTGGCAATTGATGCATGCTGGATCATTGGAAAGAAAAACTGAAAAGAGGGCTGTGGATGGTGTGTAGACGGCTGCTCGGATAACTTCGTCTTCTATAGGGATAGACGGAAATTTCGAAAGGAGGAAATCAACTATTAATGTGTGAAACTTCCATCGGTGTTACAAAACGACAACGCTCGTGGGAAGCTATTTTCAGCTATCTCCGAGTATTGAAACTGTAGATTAGACTAACATTGGTTGAATTCGGAACCAAAGTTCTATCGGAGAATCCGTCATGACATATAACTTGGACTTCAAATTTTACGAACTTTCCAAAATTGCCTTATAATTTTAAGAATCGGCAGACCGCTGCAAGCTAGTACTCCCAAGTTTCATATTTACAAAACTCGAGGAATTTAAGACATGAGGCGCAGAAAAATGCTACCTTCGAAAGTTCGTGAGATTGTGGAGGCTGTAGATCATGACGCCATGTAAGCTTACCGAGCAGATACAATCAGGCATTTATGCCTTACTGCGTAAACATGACGGCTGACCATAACGGATTGTCCCACGATAAGACGTGCAGTGCCCCTTAGATGGCTTACGCCAAGACCTCACGGTGTATCTCGAGTATCCTGGAGAATAGACGAGTCGTACTTATTGAAACGGCATGGCATGTTTTCTGAAGAACTGATTGAAAATGACATATTCAACGCCTCTACCTACAATGCCATAAGAAAACTCTCCTGAATATCTTCCCTCGTTCCAAAGCAATATAATTATGGTGAACCTGAAATTTACTTGTCAAATGGAAGAGACACGGTTTTCTCGTGAGGGATTCATCATGTGGAAGAGAATTGAATAATAATAGCAGTATCGCAATGCAATAAATGTAAAATATGCGAATCCTCCATTCAGCTGAAATTTCGAGCCATCTAGTAATCCATCTTGACTAAGTTGAGCTTTACTTCAACATTAGTCACTAAAGTAGTTGAAGAAAAACGCGATAAAAATGCTCTTCAAATAAAGTTACAGTAGTAATGCTACAAGTATCTATGCCATTAGAATTCGTAAGAGGGAAGCTCACTTGAGAAATTTGTCTCCCTTATTGTAATTATTTTTGATTCGAATCTTCGTTGAAAGTTGGTTGAAGGAATATATCAAAACCATGGCTTCAAGAGATTAGTGAAATGAGCGTATGAAATGGAAGGGGCGTCCAGATCATAGTTTACCTAGCAATAAGCGACCACAATTCAAATCGCTCATTTGCATGTATTGAGCTATCATTACCTAGCTTCGTCGAAACACGTCAGTGTATTTACTATTGCTGAATCGTACCTCATTACCCAAGTCACTGTGAAGATCTCAGATAAATGAGATACAACTTACCTGCGTGGGTGTAAGTGCTAGTATTTTCACCCTTATGGCCTTGAGCAAATCCTCTGAGGTGGAAAAACCATGTCATTCCTGTACTGCAATCACGTCAATGTAATATTACTTCTATCACTGCCAAGATGAACTGATGGTTGTACGTTTCATTATATGCTCCCGTGAATGACGAGCCCTTCATAGGATTCAAGCCAGTTTGGTTGTGTTTCTGGACATTGAGGCTTGACAATCATCTTCTTGACCTACATCTATGCTTGGCGACTGCACTGCAGAGATATATAAGAGACTTTTTTTCACTGATGATCGATTTCTATCCTCATCATCAACAATAAAAACATTTCTCTTGCAAATCCAACACAAAGCACAAAATCAGCAACCAATTTTCACTCCAAACACTATCTTCATATCCTAGATTTTCAAAATGGTTCAATTATCTACTATCTCTATCGTCCTTGCTTCCGTGCTCTCTAGCATTGTCGCTGCTAAGAGCTGCAACTCCGGTGGTATCTACTGTGGTACCTACCTTCTCAAAAGAGGTCAGTGTCAATTTCCATCATCATCTATCACTAGAAAAATTATCTACAGTCCTAGAAATTAAACTATTCACACTGACACTTTTCCAAACAGGCGACTACATCACCAAGATCAACACCAATCTACTCGCAAACAACCTTCCGACCTCAGACCTGTATGTAAAGCAATCCCTTTGGGCCTGCCTTGAGCACGGAGATATCAAGCTCCTCGAATTCTGCGCCGCCGGTTGCGTTGGCGGTGATAAGAATGATGATTACTGTACTGGGACTGGTGCGCCTGCTAGCAAGAGAGACGAGATTGAAGAGGACTTGACTGAAGAGGACTTGACTGAAGAGGACTTGACTGAAGAGAACTTGATTGAAGAGGACTTAGTTGAGAGAGCAGTTGCTATCAATTGGAAGGCTTGAATGCTCATCGATACACTTTGGGAGTCTCTGGTCGGTAGATATCGTCTAGTCTGTGTTTCTGTAGGTGTGTGGGGTAGAGCGAGAGTATTTCAGTGTGTTACGGCACATAAGATTTCTTAGGGCGGTTGTGGACAGGTTGGGTGGCTTCAATATAGACTTCGCTTTCTTTTCTTAGTTGCTCGTTTATGTATCGGTTATCCTTACTTCAATTTGACTTATTCAACAAATTTACACATTAATTTTGGTCTTGAACTCTCATTTTCCTTTTACTATGTAGCTTTCGATTTTCTGTCTTCATTTGCGAGAACTTCGTGACATTAATAACCAAATCCCGGGTTAATGATTTCTTCATGTATATTCCAATGTCAGAATAGTTTTCGTGACCTAAAGTCCACCCAGATACATTTGTCAAATTCAAGAATACCTGATGACATATATCGAACTATGATCTTTCCCCATTGATGGTAAAAATTGATACGAATTTTCGTATCTAAGCACCATTCATTTCCAAATACATCAACGCCTATACATTTGATCTATCAATTAATTGTCACACAGTACTTCAACACAAGTCCCTGTTTCAGCCTCGCAGTTCGGTTGTTTAAGCGAGTGTTACCCGAAATTCCTGTCAGCGAGTAAGCAAGTAATCACGGCAAAGTCAATCGAAGTCATGGTTGCACAACTTACGTGGAGGGATTTAAGGCTGAGCCAGAATTTTGCATAATTGGATGAGTAGGATTTACGCCATAAGACACACTGCCACACTAGTTGATTGAAAAAACCCCCAAGTCAAGATCCATATCCAAGTTGATATGATGAGGATGGTCAGACAATTATTGTACACAACATGTGTAGTCCTTATAAGCTTACTTATTGTTTCAAATAGAGCTCTTGAGGCCGTTTTTCGATTTTGTACCTCATAAGCATATCTTGATGTCCTCCAACAACCCCAAAATTTTGGCTTATGTTTGCCAAGTCTTCGCAGCTGATGATGAGAATGAGAGGATTAATCCTCTAGGAGTTTGGTGAACTGCGTAGAGATCATGTTTCAAGGTGACACTATTGTCAAGAGGCACAACTACAAAGATTATCTGTCACTATAGTTCTATTTCTGATACCCTGGAGAAAAATATGAGATCACTTGCAAGGCATATCTCTTCTTTCGTTAGGAACTCGTTATTGTTGATGTTTTTGAAGATCTTCTTTACATCGATAGATTTCATGATTTTTAGAGTGTAATTTTCGTACCACTCTTCTTCGGTAAAATTTTGGTTGCGTCGTTACATCAGTATCGCCGAGAATATTTGACAATTGAGCTAGAAACATGGCAAATCCCCCATTCGGTGTGTATATTAGTGATATTGAGAGAAACTATCACAACTAACAAATTCAGAGCTTAAAGAAAATGAAGATCGTTCTTCATGTTCATCCGACGATAGCTTTAGCCATCGCAATGGTAGTTGGAAAGGCCTCCTCCGCGGTAATGGAAAAGCAAAAAGACAACACAATCATGGCAAATTCAGTTTAAGGAGACGATGGTTTCACATCCTTGGTATCATGATTGTGCTCGGAGTTATCGCTACCTTGTGAGTATTTTTGCTCAACGTCTTGATCCTCGGAGACCTCAAATTCTAATCCTATCTCTCTTAGGATATGGTTATCTTTACTTCTGACCCTACCTCATCGACATAGACCTCAAGTTCCCTCGAACAAAGTCAGTTCCATAGTAGATGATTGGCGGAAGCCTGAAGACTCTATCAGCTTGCTTTCTCCTTGGAAATCAGATTTTACTGAAGGTATTACACCTATAGCATGTCATTCACACAACGATTATTGGCGTACTGTCCCACTTTTCGAAGCTTTGGCTGCTGGATGTATTAGCGTAGAAGCAGACATATATCTTCCAACAAAACCTGGGAACGACGATCTTTTAGTAGGCCATTCCTCATGGTCGCTGGCACAAGACCGCACACTTCAAAGCCTATATATTGAGCCTTTATCTACCATCCTTGAGAGTTTTAATAATGGTTCCACCCATTCAGATGGAAACGACTGGAGTGGCATCTTTCAATCCAGTCCAAACACTACTGTTACACTTTTCCTAGATTTCAAATCCGATGGTATTGATCTTTGGCCATATGTAAATCGACAGCTTGAAAAACTCCGAGCCAAGAACTGGCTCACCCACTGGAATAACTCGAGTGGGATCACTTGGGCGCCAATTATAGTTGTCGCTTCCGGAAATGCTCCCTTTGACCTTCTGATTTCCAATAACACCTATCGCGATATATTCTTCGATGCTCCTTTAAACGATATTGAAAACTCTCTCTACGATAATACAAACTCTTATTATGCTAGTGTTTCGATGTCAAAAGCTATTGGCAAACTGTGGCTATGGAAGTTCAGCTCAACACAGCTAGATAAAATTAGTGAACAAGTTAGCGCAGCAAATGGGAAGGATTTGAAAGCCAGATACTGGGATACTCCTTCTTGGCCTACGACTTTGAGAGATTATGTTTCAGGAATCTTGATAGAGAGGGGTGTTGGAGTATTGAATGTGGATGTGTTTTCCTCTACGTTTTATTTCCCATTGATGACTAGATTTGGGAAGAATAGACTCGTTTGGTGAACGATTACATGGCATGAGCCATATTTACGGCTGTAATAAGAATCACGGATATTTCGGTCATACACATATACATATCAATGGAGTCTCATACAGTTATCTCGGATGAAATCGACAAGTGTGAGTGGACTGAGATGTTCTATGTACGGAGTAATGGGATCAATAAAGATGAATAAAAGACAAGAATCTCGGCCCAATGTACAATATATTATCTGGAATATGGAAACGGCACAGAAAGTGGCAGAGTAACAGAATATTAAAGTTAATTCTGCGATAAAGCACTCATATCTTCCCTTGGCAAAAGTGGAGGTTAATGTAGATAGGCATGCAATCAAAGAAACGGGATAGTTAATCTCCAGTTGCACTGATCGAAATTTGACTCTGAAATGATGAAGATATAGACGAAGAGATGATCGCGCTTCCAATTTCTAGTACAATGTGCATTAAGTAACATAACAGAACGCTTTCAAAAGCTCTCACTAAAAATTCCAATCCATATTTGAGCAGTGTGGAATGTCCGCGAGAGAATGAGGTTCAATACCGTGAACGGATCTCGACATTTGCATCCTAAAAGCCGAGAAAGGCCGCAATTCAAAATACACATAAACCAATCAAGCGCTACGTTAATTGTCTTTTAATCTTCTTACAAGTACAACGAAAAAAAGATGAAATCCAAATCTTGGTTGTAAAATGTGCTTTCGTACGTCGCGGAGTCTAGATTTTCATAATGTACTCCGAGCCTAAACCATTTCTAGTGGTTGATCCTTACAGTGACGAGTATTTTACCATCGACATTGTAGCATTGCCATGCAGAATTCGTATATGTCATTGTCGACGAAAACCTAGGTTGTGTGCAAAAATGCTACCCAGGATACCCCAATTCATAAAAAGTCTCGCTTCAACTTTTGACTGGCTGCGCCGTATACCTACTTAGACATCCGAGACATCATCGACTAGCGAACCTTATGATTAAGGTTGAGCTACGAGACATGTCAAAATCGATATCCAGCATCTCGGCTCGTGTGATGCAAGACTTTAAGATTAAAAATTATGCTCCGAGCTTCCTTTCGGTATTCAGCTGGCAATTTACCTCACAATAAATACTCGGTAAACTGTGCCACCAAATATCAAAATGCTTGGCACAAGGGTTGTTTATAAATAACAAATTAGAACTTGAGTTGCCTTGGAAAAGTGTGGAGTCCACGTTATGAGCCGTCCGGTAGCGTCTCTGGGGCGGCTGGACCACTTCGGCTATTCTGATTTACAGGCTAGCTCCGCTTCTAATTCGGCTCTTGGTTATTATTGGCTCAAGTGAAAACCGAGGAACGGCAAACATCTCGCTCAATTTGATTGTCCGTAAATATATAGACCGACAGCAAGTAACAAGGTTGAAGTGTTGCTTCACAATCCATACAATTTTTGTGTTATCAAGAAAGATACTTATCGCGATGGTTTTTGACTGCTCTTCATCCCATGAAGGGAGACGTATGGATCCGTCTGGAATATGTTTGTTTGCACTGGGAGTGAGAAGCAAGGGGGGCTCAGTGTGAGAATGGAATTTTTATCCAGTCGGCCAAAACGCGATAGATTTCCACCGAAGGCATTAGGTAGAGTCCTTGAGACGCTGCTTTGAAATCTACGAAGTATGTGTGTGATCTCGGAACACTGGTCAACCTCCGCATGATTGTACAAGTAGCATCATGCCTGTACTTACTAAGGAATTATACTTTATTGGATTGACCCAATTGAAAGTCTTGTTTGGATCTTCAGAAATGATTGGCCTTCACCCGATTCATGCTCAATGTTAATCCCATTCCCCGGTTATGCTTATGGCTGAATAGAGTGGAGGTAAAGGATTTCTCATCGATATTTCGATATTGTTCAAGAATCGAGTATTAGATCTCCATTCATCATTCAAATCGCATGCAAAATTCTCAAGGTGCGAGATATATCAGTATGTGGACTTGAAGGTCATGGCGTTTACCAACCCACTTTCTGCCCAAAGTCTGATCTCTTGGCAAGCTAGAAAATTTCTCCGACACATACGCTAAGCCATTATCAATGCGAGCAAGCAAATATCCTTGACTTATACGAGAATTGACCGTTCAATTTACAACTTCCCTCAGCACAACGTCAACATTGAAACATGTAACTTGCAAGAGATTGTTCCTAGAACGTCTCGGAAGGTCATTCAGCCTTGTTTGGAACCAGCTCGCTTGTTGGTAATGGAAAATAGAGAATCAGAATCAATCAATATTTGAGAGATTACGAAGTGATAGGCAGTTCACTAGGTAGCCTTCCCCGAGGAAATGATTGAAATATGTCAAAGTGGTTCTTTACAGAAAACGGTCCATGATTGTCAAGATACTCGACGATCAACGCCACATGGGTTGTTGGGAATGAATTGAAAGTATTGACTTCTTGGGATAGCCTGTCTTTCAGATGAACGAATCTTCAATTGGTAATACATGATATTCTAAGATTCAAGTGGACATGTTCTCAAAATTCCCTGTTAAAGTTCCCGGGGGATCTGCCTTCGGGGAAATCCCTACCCAAAGAGGGGGCTACCCAAGGCAATGGAAACGAAAGTTTACATGGCACCGGGATGGCAGAGGTGTAATAATGAAAAGAATCTGAATCCCAGAGATCTGGATATTCCTTGAGGTGAACTTTAAATCAAGGCCCAGAGCGTCGCTTCATCCTGGCCCCTGTTTCATAAAAATCTTCATAGGTATGGCATACGCCCAGAAACCAAACACTATGTGATTCCTGATTGTAATAGAGTTTTAGCTGATCTCTTTTGACATCTGGTCCCTGAATCGATCTCAAAGAAACTTCTACTTCGATTCAAGAACTATATACAAAGTAGTCTTAGACCTTGTATCACGACTTACAAACGACGTCCGTTACCCTGAGATAATCCTATTATATTACTGTCATTATCTCCTTTCGTTTCTACATTATTTCTTCGTTCTAGGCGTTCATTTGATTTCATTATTGCATTGAGCCCCACCCAGAGATGATCCAGCTTCGGTGAAGGCTTCACGACATCAATCATTATCATGCTCACATTACTCTCTTCAAATTATGTGGCCCACCCTACGACAAGCGCTGACTTAGCTATCGCATCGATTGCTTTTGGATGGACTCTTGGTTTTGGATGGTTAACAGCATGGACGGCATATAAGCAAACAAGACGAGTTCGACAACGTTATGGAATCACTCGAGTTCATACTCCATATGTAGTAATGATATGGTCTGAACTCGTCGTATGTCTGGCATTTGCAATCATATGTTGGCTTCATTTGTATGATGCTGAAATTGTCCCCCCAAGGTATATCTTCCAGCGTCCAATCAACCTGTTTATCGCCCTCTAATACAATGTAGTTTTGCATTCTTCTTCTGCATCCTCACTCTCTGGGCATTACAAGTTCAATTCCTCCTCCAGATTATAGTAAATCGAATCAGCATTCTCTTCACCGTCAAAAGGAAAGCACTTCATCTTAAGATTGCCGTCGCAGTGATCATCACACTTGTCAACATTTCGGTTTATTGCATTTGGATTCCGGCCAGACTACAAATTTCACAAAGATTTATTCACATCAATGATGTTTGGGATCGATGCGAGAAAAGTATCTATCTGTTGGTGGATGCATTATTGAACTTCTATTTTATGAAAACGGTATACAGCAAGCTTGTGGGCAATGGCTTGCAAAAATACAAGACCTTGATTAAGTTTAATGCTGTATTGGTGGTTTTTTCCTTGAGTATGGATGCGTTAATTATCGGAATGATGAGTTTGAAAAATTCTTTTGTGTAAGTCACCCCAGTCCTCAAGTATCCCGCATCTCTTGTCTCTTTCCCCTTCTCTCTCGTAAAGATTAAAAACTAACACCACAAATAGATACATGCAATTCCATCCTCTCGCCTACATCGTTAAACTCAACATCGAAATGTCCATGGCCGAATTAATTGCCAAAGTATCCGTTCTTCCCAACACCTATCTACCATCCAAGAATCGCATGGCCCTAAAGATCGGCATTCAAACCGATATTTCCATCAAACATGATGATGCAGATGATATGCAAACGTTAGAGTTAGCAGAAACAGTTAGTAGTCCAGCGCCAACGATCAGTAAAGAGTTTGATCATGGACGACCGGTGGTATTTGTAGGAGACGATTACGAGAATGATAGTGAGAGGGAAATGGTGAGGAAGAGGGGGGAGAGTGATGTGAGGATAAAAGGGGGGACTTGGCTAAGTGCCTAGTTAGTGGATGAGAAAAATGGGTTATGGGAATATCAAAAAATGCATTATTGTCAGAAATTTCATTACAGTAAAACACTGATTGAATGCAGTACCAGCAGTACCAGTATTCAGCCAGTTGGTCTCGATTAGATTTGAGACTGATCAACTGATTGCTTGCTATGATTTAAGCACCAACCATAACGCCCAAAGATAACGGGAAGCTCAGCAAACCACTAGTTACGAACAAGCATTTCCACGGACAACAAAAAGATCCGGTATGCTCGTTCCGGAATTCTCAAACACCATCGAAGTTCTCCTACTATGCGTCATGTTTTCCCTTTGCCACAGCACATACTACACGCTGAATATTTTCCGACAATTGATCAACAGCGCTATGAAGATGCAACTACAGCCTGTGTGGTAAAAGCTACCAGTGTAGCCTGAAATCTCTACGAAATTTACGAAAGCTTAATTTTAAGCGCACCTCCAGTGATTTCGCGAACAATGAACGGTTTCGAAATCTACATGTTGATTTATGAATGTCTCAAAATTCTCCGATTGGAAGCACGGGATAGGATTTGTATTTTGGGGGGGGATGATTGCGTGTACCGGTATTCCTGGAGATATTTTTCATTAAGACATTTCAGATATGTTTATATTTGATAATACACGAGTATATATACATCTATCTTTATACTACTATACAAACATCTTTCTAGAATTTTCATTCTTAACCTCAAAAAGCGATAGATTTAATTTGAATACATTATATTACACTTATTTCTATACCTACTCCTTGATACCTTAATACTTAAACAAACCACAAGCGACCCGAAGCGATCTTAAGTAATCGAGAAGAATTATAATAGTTCGAACTAGTGAGTTTACCGAGGCTGACATCAGTTAGAATTCTTTAACCTGTATTAGTATATCTAGTATACAAACTTCTTAAATCAGCTCCGAGTAAGATTCATCGCATTCAATCCTATATACTGTAAATGTTCCCTTACTCAGAACCCCAGTCAGAAATTCCGTAAGTGTTTTAAAATAAAGATAATTATTTATAACTTATATATTAGATTCCAATTAAGCAACCCTCTATCTACTCATTTAACAATTAATGATTTAAAAAAGAAAGAAAGAAAAAATACTATAATAACCCTCAATATCAATTAAAGTTTCTTTGTCTCAGTAAGAATATATTTAAGTACTTAGAATATACTCAAGTACTCTATAATATCTATATATCTACCTACTTACTTACTTACTCATCTACTTATTCACCTACTCATATAAACAAATAAAAATAAAAACTCATATATAAAAGCTAACTCCTCAATTCCAGTAATCAATAATATATAGGTTCGAATTCTATCTAAACAATTCATCTATTCAATTGTAGAATCACTATACGATATAGAAAATACGTATAGAGTAGGTAGATTATTCGTATTAAGTATAGTGCGTATTGTATTGAAAGCTATATATAATCTAGTTGACTATATTAATCAGAATGATTACCTAATACGCCTAATGCGTTTAGCCTGCTTTCTGATATCAAGGATTAAGTTTTGATATCTTATTATTTATATAAATAGCTTAAATTAATTTAAGTTAATATAATATAATTCAATCTAGTCTAATACGAAATTATAATACTTGATTCAAGTCTACCTAGCCTACTTGGAATAAGTTAATAATAGAATAAAATAATAACGGAATATAAAATCTAATCTTGTAATACTTTGCCTTAAAAGAATTGCGAGAGCAGGGTACAATTTATTCTTAGAATCTATAATTATAGAATCGGGAGCAAAGTGTTCGTAGAGCGCTCCTATATACTTGTGAGGGCGCACGTACCCTCTTGGCACGTGACCGGCTACACTAGCCGTTTTAGCTAGCTTTTCAAGTATAAGTTGGAAGCTTCGCTTTCAACTTCCTTTTAGCTCTTCATTAATAACTATATTATTCAATGACAACTCTTCTTTCGTTTCCAGATTCCTCACAATACTAGCTATATATACGTGATCGTATACGTGCGTATGTATACATGTGAGTAATCGTAACTACGATTGGGTGCGATCCGTAACAAATCTAATCTAAAATCCAATAAATAAATTTCCTCATTTACTCATTTACTCAGATATTCTTACAAAAAATAAATCTCTCTATAATATATCAAATATACAAATGTATATAATCTACTATAAAAAACCATAAGTATTCTAAACCTCTACTCTTTATTATATATAAATCAATTATAAATTAATTATAATCTATTATTTAATTATTATATAGTTTATTAAACATCTATATATATCTACTTATCTCATTTATAATAATATCTCAATTATAAAAAAATAATCTATAAACGATCTATAAATGAATAATTTCTTCAAGCTTTTTTATTTTATATACATACCTAGGTAAATTATTTATAAAACATACTCATCATCTACTCTCGAATATAATATAATATCGATATAATATAAAACCAACTACAAATTCTAGAATTACTTACTTACTCAACTACTTATAAAGATTTCTTTAGATTTTTTATTTTAATAAAATACTTAATAAATACATAATAAATAATCTATGACTATCTATCTATCTTATCTATCTTATTTATAAAACCAATTATCTACTCTATAGATACTTACTATATGATCTAATTATTATATCATCCCCCTCTCCTTTCTATTCTTCTTTCTATTCTTCTTTATCTCTTTTCTTTTCTATTATTTTTTTATTTGATTTTTAATTCCTAATTTCTAATTCCTAATTCCTAATACCTAATATCTAACTCCTAACCTTAATCTCTCCAACTAATTACTATCCAAATAAATAATCTCTATTCCTTATCAATCTACTCTACTCTACTCTCTTCTTTCCACCCCACCCCTCTTCCTGTCACGGTGTAGATACACATAACCAATAAATAAATAAGCTGGGCCCTATTGGGTTAACTAACATATGAAAATTCTATATATCTTCACTCTAGAAAATTCTGTATTGTAACTTTTCGAGCTGTATCTTAGTTTATATTCTATACCTATTATTATTATTATTAGTACTGTTTATGATATATTCCTGATCTTGCCAGTTGTCCTATAATACTTTCTTAATTTCAAATTTATACATATACATATATATATATCTAATAAAACATCCAAAACTCAAACTCAAACCCACTCCCAAACTCAAACTCAAACTCAAATCCAATCCCCATCTACTAACAAAATCTCCCCTTAACTTCTCTCTCTATTTCTATCCTATCCTATTCTTCCTATCCTTTCTATCCTTTCTATCCTTCCTATCCTTTCTATCCTTTCATTCCCCTCAATCCCCTCAATCCCCTCAATCCCTAATCTATACCTCCATTCCTCATTCCCCTAACCCTCTAAATCCTATTCCCACTTCCCACTCCTTCCCACTCCTTCCCACTCCTTCCCACTCCTTCCCACTCCTTCCCACTCCTTCCCACTCCTTCCCACTCCTCACTCCTCACTCCAAACTTCAGACTTCAGACTTCAAACTTCAGACTTCAGACTTTTATATCTATTTATCTATTCTATTTCCCTATCTATCTCTCTCCCTACCTCGATATACCTAACACCTAATACCTAACACCTAATACTATCATCTCATCTTATTTCATTCCCCTCATTCCCCTCATTCCCCTCATTCCCCTCATTCCCCTCAATCCCCTTAACATCTCAAAATTTATCTCAATACAAGAAAAGTTTTCTTCAAATTCAAAACCTCTCTCTCTAACCACTAGATTAAATCCACCCTAGTAATAGTAACTCAAGAGATACTCCAAAAAAGAATAGTCAAAGAAACGAAACAAAAAAGATCCAATCAAGGTATCCCGAAGTTATTTTATCTTTCAAATTAGGTATCTCATAGGTATCTATCTATCTATCTAGTATCCACCTCACCTCATTTCGAAACCATCAATCGTTCCGCCGCTTCCAATTCAGTAATTCTTCATTACTATCATCAATCCACCAATTCGTATAAACATCCCCAATTCATCTCTCACAGATATGATACCACCCCACGAGCGGTAGATTTCCTACCATACACACAAGTGGTATATAAATCTATTTTTCCTCATATTCCCTTCCTCATCTCCTCCTTTCAAATATCTTCATAAAGAACGTAAGTGAATAAATATAACCCTCCTTCCTATAAACACCAAAGAACCACCTCAAAACACCACCAAATATGTAATTCATCCCTGTCAAAAGTTAAACACCCCCTATCAGCATTTCGCTTTAAATATACATTCCAATCCAGATTGAACGCCCTTTCTCAATTCTTCAAATCCCTTAAATTCAAAACACCTCTCATCTATAACCTCCCCATGGTGCAGATCCCGATTCCGATCCAGATTCCGAGCCATGTCTTTGATGAACTTGATTTTGATTCGTTCTTGGATCTGGATTAAATTCACCAACTTCCGTAGCCGCTCTTCTAGGAGGAGAAATAGATCCCATTTCCTCATCTCCATAATCTTCATTTCGATTTCCATGAGATCTCATTTGTTCTGGTCCCGTAGTCGCAGCCCTTGGAATAGGCTCCGTTAAATTCCTAACTCGAGGTGGACTCGATGTGCCCGTACCGAAATCGAAACCATGTTGGTGTTGTTCTTCTTGTTCGACTGGTGATGCTAATGTTGGGTTGATGGAATGGGGATTGAATGGTTTATACCCAGCTGGATTTGCTGATGGCGGACTTCGTGTATTTTGCCCATACCCTTGACCCATATTTGAAGGAGCTGGAGAAGCACGTCCATTGTTTTGGAGAGCTGGGTCGAATGGTGTTCTACGACTGAAATCAGGTCCAGGTGCTGGTGATGAACGTCCTTGTTGATTGTAGTTGAATGGTGGTCTTGGACCACCGTACTCAGACCCAGGAGCTGGAGATGATCTTCCTTGATCATTATAGAAATTGAATGGTGGTCTTGGTCCTCCAAATTCTGACCCTGGAGCTGGTGAAGGTCGACCTTGATTTTGAAGTGCTGGATTGAATGGTGTTTGTCTTCCATATTCTGATCCATATTCTGATGCTGGAGACATCATACGATTTTGAGGATTTTGCATAGCAGGATCGAATGGTGTACGTCTTCCAATTGATGGAGCTGGGCCAGGACCCATAGGTGTATGCGATCGAGGAATTGGTCTTCCATAAGAATCCATTGTATTTTGTCTTTGTGGTCCTGGAAATCCAGGTGTATTTCGTCCATCAGCATAAGAAAATGGACTTGCTGTAAATCCACGATCACCCATTGCAGATGGCATTCTTGGTGGACCTTGAGGAGGACCTTGTGGTGGACCACGTTGCCATTGGCTACCTTGAGATCCTCCAGTATTGGTTCTTTGTGGAGCAGGGAATGGCATATCCGTATCAAGTGGTGGTAAGTCCGGTACTCTTCCCATATCACCTGCATTACCCATAAGAGGAGCATTTGAAGCATAACTTGACCCTGTAACAGATCTTCCAGGTAATGGTCGTTTTTGATCCAATTTCTCAAGTTCGAAACTGGCTGTTTGTGGAAGATTACTACTTGGTGTACCTGGTCGTGATGTATACTGTGGTAAGGTTGTCATTGTATCTGCTCTATTGAGAACAGGCATATCCGGGAGTTTATCGTCTTCTTTCGAATCGAAAAGTGCTGGAATAGTAGCTTGACGTCCAGAAACTTTCTCTCCTTTCTTTACTGCCTTTTGTTCTGCTTTGGTTCGTTTTCTTTCCTCCTCCTCAATAGCCTTGTTGACCTTGGCACTGACAATCTTTGTCAAACGTTCGTTAATCTTTCGCTCGCAATAGCCTGTAAGTCCACCATCGTGATTTGGAATATAATGCCATAAGAACAGTAAATAGAACAAGATTGCGAGAATAAGACTTAATGCGGAAAAGATCCAAATGACAAGTGTGAAGATCATACCAGACAAGATAACTGCTTGTTGATGTTCTTGTTCTGCAAGGATTCCAACCTTCTTGAAAAAGGTTAAGAGGGCGTCTCCAACATCATTGGATTCAGTAGGATCGAGTTTTGCATGAAACACTGAGTATAGAGTTAATGCGTTGATGACTTGACGAGGTCCCTGACAGAATACAACACGAATCCAAGCTAGAAATGTTAGTAATGAAAATATAGGGGTCCTTTTGCGACGTACATTGAAAAGCGAAATATGTAAATAGCGCAACATATTCGGTTCCCTTTTTAGATTTTGTCAATTCGGCAAAGACCAAGAATCTTCTCCAACCTCGACCAGTCTGTCCCATTTTAATACTTTCAAGTCGAACAGCAAGATTGTCCAAATAACTTTCGGCAACAGCTCCTCGTCGCATAACTCTCCACGCTCGTAAATGTTCGAATCCAATATTAATCCAAGAAGCAATGATACATCCAGAAAAGATCCATTTCGAAACTTTGAGAGGAATGATTGGTTGAATTTCCCCAGACCATCGATTGAAAGCTAAAAGGTTAACGGCGGTAAAAGTATCTACACCATAAACGGCGGTAGAGATGACCAAAGAAATCCAAAGATATGCATATGCGAAAGGAGTGAGACAGGATGTGGATTTAAAATCGTTAAGACTCTGTGAATAATAATTAGTATATTCCTATTCCCAACGACATTCCAAACCTTACAATAAAGTCCCATTTCTGCTCAGGACGTAGGTCGTCTTTGTTCACACGTCTTGAAAAAATCCCCATATTTGAAATAGTAGAGGGTATATCTTTTAATTAAATTCGTTTGGCTCTGCCACGATGACAATGGATATAATGTCGAAGCACCTGGCTAGAAAAGAAGGAATTGTAACCTTGAAGGTTTTGTTGGATATTTCGCAATGAGTGAGTCTCTTCGATATAATGAATGTAGAGTTGTATTTGATGCACTTGTCGTTCTCCGCCTGCGAAGTATCGACTTGTGCAGGTTAAGTGAGGGTGATGTACAATTGATATGTCGAGTAAGTATTCATGTACTTGGTCGTATGAATGATATCAATCGAGGACGGATATGAAAAAGGTAAGACAACGATTAGTCTTGGATGGTAATGGTCGAATGAACGGGTAACGGGTACAAACGTCAACGACAGTAGGATTGTGGATATACGTTTTCGGGTCGACCGTGGCTTAAAGCTGAGCAAGGAAGCACAATAGAAAAGGTAAAGAGTGGCCGTTTCTATTGTTGAATCATATTTTGTTGATCTGTGACAAATTCACGAGAAAGTGGAAATGAATGCGAATGCGACAAGAATATTCACTATTCATGCGATTTAAATTGAACCAGGCCAATTGACGGTATCAAAATCTTCTCAATTGAAGATTAAATTGACATTGCTTGACTTGACTGATACAATTGAAAGAGAAATTGTTGTTTCCTTTTGGTGAGATGTCTTCCTGATTGTGTTACTCTGAAGCGCGCGGGTTTGATCGTCCTTCGACAGGTACCTCGAAATTGGTATGGGTCGTTAGGAATTGGTCGGAAGTTGGCGGTCGGAATTGAGTTGCTTTCCTTTCTTCAGTCAAGGAAAAATTGCGGTACAAATGTGATTGTAGAGATAAAATCGTGATATTAAAAAGAATGACAAAATTGCAATCAAGAACGAATGTTGAGTGAGTGTGTGTGTGTGTACAACTCTGGTTCCTTTCTCTCTCTCTCGAATTATCCAACGTGTAAGATATTGAATTGTGGCAAAGTCCAGCTTCGATTCCAATGATCTTATTCTGGAGGATTCTGAGCTCGGATGTCTGTTTTATAAGTAGAAATGGAGGGTTTGATGGGATGAAGAGAGGTAGGAGTTGCGAAAGAAGTGATGAACAAAAGTCGAGAGAGATGTTCGTACGAGCGTGGTATGAGCGTTTGAGCGTTTGAGCGTTTGAAGATCTCTTTGCCCAGGAAAAGATTGAGGTGAGGGTGGAAGTGAAGGAAGTAAGTGGTGGATAGTGAATGAATGAATGAAAGAATGGATCGATGATTGATGATTGAAGAGTGGAGTGCAATGTAGTGCAGTGCAGTGGTGTAATGCAGTGAGACAAGTTTAGGGTGTAGGTAGTCTGTGTTCTGTGTCTGCTCGTACCGTTCTGTGGCTGTTGGGTGGCTGATCATGTCAAGTTCCAAGGTTACCAATGCAGGGGAAGAAGCCAAGCAAGAAGAAATGTCTTTTGGTGTTTGATGTGATTGAGGACAAAGTAAAGGGAGTAGCAAGTATCTATCGAGTATTCTGAATTTCTGATGAGAAGTTTGGAATGGCCATTCCGATATGAACAATCAATGGATGACGAGATGCATTTCATCGTCTAGTTTATTGATATGAAGCATTTTGATGTGATTCATGTGAACCTCCCAATAATGTAATTCCCCAATAGATTATTCCGCGCATACGGAGTTATCATTGGGGGATCAAAGAGTGCACTTTATCATTTCTCTCTTCTCTTTTCTCATTTTACACTTCTCTTCTCCCATTGCACTCTTCTCTCATTTCACACTTCTCTTCTTCCATTGCACTCTTCTCTCATTTCACACTTCTCTTCTCTCACTTCCTTTCACTTCCTTCAATATTCAAGGATTTCCCCCCGACCAAAGATAACCAGTGAGAGTGGAAAGAGTGGAGTCTGCAAGGCACGAAACCCAGGGACAGAAAAGATTAAAGAGATAACGATATCCGTTATTAATCTGGGGGAAAGATAAATGATCATTGGTTGATATGATAATCACACATGCACTTATCCTAAAATGATATAGTGGAGCTCCATATCTCTCCCTCTCAGCCAATCGAATTCCTTTGGTGCCTTGAATTTAATTAATTACCCCCAGCCAATCAGACACGTTTCTCTGCACCCCGACTCCGAAGTTCACCAATCGATAGCATGAACCATATTGAGACCATTCCCCCCTTTTTCCCTGCTCAATGCTCATTATCCTTTCTCTCTCGTTTCATATAGAAATAGACCGTCTTTCCTTATACAGATTGCCTACTCCTAGGTATTCCCACTCAACCTCAACCTTGCAATACGATATACGATATCGTATACATACTTCGTACATACGTATGTACGTATACTCCGTATTTCACAATAGATTAAATTTCCATCACCACGTGAATTTAAAAAAAAATCCGAAAGTTCCGTCAAATCCATCAAATCCACCAAGTCCACTCACTCAGAAGAGATTCCACCGAAAAGTCTTGACCATTTATTATTCAAGCTTCAAACTTTATTACCACCACCATCCCATCCCATCCCATCCTATCCCATCCTATCCTCTTCTACATGTCCGCTATCCGCTGTCAAGATTCAAGAACATTCAATACCGCAACCCGGAGAACAAATCAACCAATTCCAAACACTCTACTTGTCTACTTCTTTATATAGCACAGCGATTACTTCAAACTAATTGGATTGGATATCAGCGTGCATTGATCTACCTATCAAATGCATACACGGTGAAACATTGGGGAAACATCAACTCTATTGGAAGTAAAGAATGACGAAGAGCATATCGTAGAGTACCAAATGTTCGATCAAGAAGCTAATAAAAATCCCTCGTAAGGTTAGCTCGTATGGACCATGGAATGGAGATCCTCAATAGTCCGAACATCGAATGAGCCCCAAAATGTTAATTCTTCGAGCGCAGCGAGCTATGGGGGTTTGGGGGCTTGCCCCCATCAATTGAATATAATAACTACATGATCTCGAATCGTATTGATAACATATAATTCCACAAATTGAACCATATAATTCAAATGAAATGTAGTGACGCTCTGCTGGTCCTCCGGAGGCTCCACGGCTAGTCGGCGGGGGAGGGGTGGCAGACTATTTATACTTTTGCGTGAGAGATAACTCTATACTCGTAAACTCGAACTATATGATTTCAACAAAATGACGCTCCGCTGGCCCTCCGGGGGCCACTGCCGTGGAGGCAGACTAGACATTCTATCCAAGAAATAAAATGTCAATATGCAATTGAGAAAAAGCTTCAATTAGTCTTGTCTCCAGCTGGTCTAGTAACTTCACCAAGTAATTTCAACCTACGAGCCTACCTACATCTAACTGCCACAACACAGCCACTGCCACAGCCACAAGAGCCATGGATGGAAGTAGGCACCTACCGGTATATCAAATTTTACATCAATCACGTGATGACCTCGAACTCCAGCTCTGAGATATTCAACCTCAAGACATCCCACCACATCCCACAATTTCTACACCTTTCAAAATCCAATTTTAGTAGCATCAATCATCAGATCATCATTCTGAATGATGAAAAATTCAAAAATCTATTCAATCCATCATTATTTCAAGTACAATACCGTACCATTAATCTATTTCTTGATATTACGCTGTAAGTCCAAGTCAAGTTGCGTTACAAGAACTTGCAAACAAACTATGATATGTTCATTATCAGTGATTTTGAATCATGTCATCTTTAGTTGATAAAGTCGAAGTCGAGTTTATGACACTCAAGATGATGATAAGGGAATGATAGCTCTGTCCGCCGTGTCAAAGAACTCGTTTTTACTCTGATACATGACTGGGTATCTATACAAAGACAACTCAAAATTGCTCGAGAATGGTTAGAATACTCGCAGCGGGCGGTGGTGGAAGTTCATGTGTCACCGAACCGCAAGAAGAACGCCATCAAAAATGAGGAGCTAGGGAGAATTTCCGAATTGTGTTTGCATAGAACCACAAAAGGATGGTTACGAATATTGTTGATCTATGTCTAGAAGTGGTTTTGAATATAAGAATCTGTCGAATACGTTTGAGAACAAGAAGATGTTGGAAAAGAAAAAGGCGCAAGGGAGATGGGAACTCATCCAAAGATAATTCGAATGGGGAAAGGAAGTCAATCTTGGTGAATGAAGGCAATAATAAAACCAGTGCCTCGCAATGTGTCTTTCGGCGTTCTAATGATCTATATAATTAGTGCTCGGAAATTCATACTTAGCCGTGCTGAGAAGTCGAATGCCGACGACATGACTACCGATCGTGGAAAGACTAGGCAAACTTTGTTATGATCCGGAAGTTACGTTCCTCCTCGCCCCTCATTCTGTAAAGCAACGAATCGCTGAGACACCTTTATTGTCGATGAGGGGGTGAACAATTATGAACCTGCTCTACCTAAGCAAAAGAACAAGCTGAAAATTATATTTAATGTCATATATGCCTGTAATGATAGAATATATAGTTGACGAAGTAGAGATTTCATTAATATAATAAAATCTTCAATATTTTAATTCTATATTGAAAAAAGTATTTTTAAGATAATATAATATAATTAATCTAAATCTTTACATTTTATAAAAGTTATTTTAAGTAATAGAATCTTAATAAATTTCTTGAATTTGAAAAGCTAATTTTAAATTAAAATTAAAAAATTCATTTTTAAGTAAAAAGGCTTATTTGTATTAAATTTAAATCTAGATCTATGAAATTTAGACTGAATGATTAATCAAATAAAGTATTAATCTCATATTAGTCACGAATTCAAATAAAGATTCGAACGAGCCCTTAGTAAGTTATATAAATCGTTTAAAATCGATTCTTTTTTAATCAATTCTAAAGATTTCAATAAAGACTTAGTCGAAATTCGCCTCCTTTTCCCCCGGCGAATAAATAGAGCCCTGATTATCTTTGATACTACATTCTGATAAATGATTCGACCTTCTCTACTCGAGTAGTGAGGCTGAAGCTGCCTAAATTGGCTTAGCTTCGAGATGTCATGTGGAGGACTGGTCACACGTATATCAACCCAGAACATCTTTCCCATTGATGTCTCTTCATCCATCCAACGACTTCTTCAATCCAAAGTTTTCATCTAAAAGGTTTTACAACATTGATCATTGGTTTCCACTTCACCAACATCTCCAAAAATGGAGGATATTCAGCAATATCATTATACACCTCTTCTCGAGCCTGATGCATTTCGTGTCATCGTCATTCACCCTGCCTTATCCATCGAATCATCTTTATCATGCAGCTTAATTCATTCTACCCTGTTCCATTACGATCAATCTCTCATAGATCATTACATAGCACTTTCTTACGTCTGGGGAGATGCAAATAACAGAAAGATAATATTGGTCGATCAGAAACCACTACTTATCACCGCAAGTCTTGCTTCAGCATTACGGTATTTACGAGATAAAAAGACAGATATAGCGGTATGGGCAGATGGAATCTGTATAAATCAATTCGACATTGAAGAAAAGAATAAGCAAGTTAGCTTGATGAGCTTGATTTATGAAGTTGCAAGGCATACTGTCATATTCCTTGGAGAAACAACTTCAGAAACTGATGAAATCTTCAAATTACTTGACTCTCCAATGTCCTCAATGACGAAGCAAACGAAACCTGGATTTCTATCTAATGTTCGAAAATCGAACACTACCGATCAGACGTTTAATCTACACTCAGGAGGATACATAAAATCAAAGATCGATGATCTAATTCGTCAGGTAATAGACATGCCATGGTTCAGAAGAATTTGGATTCTCCAAGAACTAATCCTTTCCGGTGATCCCTGGGTACAAGTGGGATTTCATCGACTCAGATGGCAAGACTTTACGAGACTGATTCTTGACTCCAAGCATAATTCTGCTTTGGTCAAGTCTCCAAATTATAATGTTCTCAACGATATGCACATGTTACGGGAAATTTCTGCAGCGGAGACTCTGGATTCCTTCGGCCCTTGTGACTATCTGCTCAAGATCCTCCACTCGCGTCGTGGTCATGGAGTCTTCAATCCAAGAGACATGTTGTACGGACATCTCGCCTTATTTGCAAATAGAACGAAGAGCGACAATCTGGAAATCGAAAAACTCGTCGAAATCGATTATCAAAAATCAATAGCAGATGTATACACGGACTTGACATTATATATCTTAAATCGGCAATGTGATTTTAAGTTCCTATCGCACGTGGAAGATGTGGAATTTGAGGAGAAGAAATTTAATCTGCCGACTTGGGTACCGGATTGGACTTCTAAAGGAATTTTTAGAGACGGGGAGTGGCATTCGTGGAGAACAAAGTCACGTAGCAGGATTCATGATATAAGTGATATACATGTTGTTCTGGGGGAGAAGGCGGTATTGGGTTGCATTGGAACAAGGGTTGGTAGTGTCGAAATGATCAAGAATGACATTCCGAAGAGGAAGGATGTTTTTGCTTTGTGTCATGAAATCAAGAATTTTCCTGGAGGGGAAAGTTCTCGACACCATCCAGTTGATACTTACAAGGGAATACTTGAGCTCGTCTGCAGATATTTCTGTGCGTGGTTCAATACCTCAGAGACTTCACCCTATAATCTTATCTCAGAAGATATGGCAAAAATCCTTGAAGACGCCTACTCAAGCGCTACAGAGAGTTTCTTGCAAAGAATGGAACTGGTTTCCAAAATCGCGGATCCCGCAGATCTAGAGCCCTTGAGAGATTATTCGGGAATGTTGGAAGTTGAAGGACACCCGACAACTTTATGGATGTACGTATTAATGGGCATGACGGATGTCAACGGAAATTTTCTTGCCGGCAAGAAACTTGCGGCTTTGGGCAATGGGAAAATTGCACTAGTGAGTGTGCGAGCGGAAGTGGGAGATGAGATTTGGAGGTTTAATGGGGAGGAAGAGGGGTTGTATTATGTCTTGCGGGGCTATGATGGTGAAGAGGGCGATAAGCGGATTGAGAAGAATAAAAGGGAAGGGGAAAAGGATGGTAGAGCGGAGATGGACAGAAGAATCGAGGAATTTTTTGAGAGGAAGAAAAAGGAGGTTATGGTGAAATATGTAGACTGTGGGGATGATGGACGACTTCTTTGGCGCGAGAGGATTTTTAAGGCGAGTAGATGTTTTTCCGTTTTTAGAAACAGAGATTATTTGTGGATGGCGAATTCACTATTGAGAGCAGCACGAGTGTTGGCAAACCTTGGGGATGAGGGGAATAACGATGGAGGAGGGAAGAGAAATAGGAAAAAGGAACTGGAAGAGAACTTGAAGAGAAAAATGGAAACGGTTGTTGGGAATTTGCTGAACGAGATGACAAGGTTTCCAGATCTTTATCCAGCTAAACAATCTGACATAAGGAATGAAGAGGTGATTCTTTTGAAAACAGATGTGGGCAGAGTGTGGACGGGAACGGGAACGGGGGGAGTGAATCATGTTAGGTATGTGGGGGAGTGCATCCTTGGTCCTGAATTGAGGGACGGAGAGATAGGAATGGGGAGAGGGACGGCGTATCATAAAAGACAACAAGATTACGATAAGAGGGACAGAGAGCTCTTTGAAAATATTGAGAAGATGAGAGAATGGTGGAAATTGGGATTGGGGGTTCCGAGCGAGAGTTTGGATGAAGAAGGAGAGTATGAAAATGGGTGGCTCGAAGACGGGCTGGAGGAATGGAGGAAATGGACTGGAAATTACCCTCCCGACGAAGGCTTCTACGCTGACGACCCTGAATACGCAAAAGACATAGCAAGAGTACAAAGAAGAGTTTTTGATATGAAAGATTGGAAGAAATTTACACAGCCGCTGCGGTATGAGATTCTCGCGATTCATTGAGAGTAGAATGGAAGAGGGGGAAGAATCAGAATATGGATATAGCTGTCATACATGGAGATGAATCTATCCAATTGTGACACAAAACTGCATAGCACGGTATGGTACAGTTTTCACGAGGATCGTTTCATATAGGGGAAATTTAAGCTGTCATTTTTTGGTTAATTGTTAGATGAAAGAGAAGGGAAGGGAAGAAAAGGGGGGAGGAATGAGTATTCTATCATGATGGTTTGAGATTATAAGAGAGTAGTAGAGTGATAATGGAATGTCAAGATAGCGAGCGCATAATGATTTTTATAATAGGTTTCTATCTAAAATTGAAATTCAATATTCGAATGCTTTGTCAAAATGATCATCAGAGTCCCGGGAGAATAAACATCGTCAACACATCTTTACGGAGAAAACAGGTTTAGCGCTGGAAACAAAACATTTCTGGTGAAATAATAGATAGATGTATAATAGACTTTCATTTCACTCCTGATACGAAGAGAAGCCTTGGGAAATACTTACCTACCTCCTGATACGATTCAATTTAAGTAAATTAAATCATACAAAGAATTACATTCTTCATCTTAAACCCAGCGCTCCATCTCGATAGCTAGCTAGATATCTAAACACTAGAAAAATATCTGAAGTTGTTGCGCTGGGAGATATCTAGGTATGTATGTATGTATGTATAGTATGTATTGACTCGCTTATACAGGTGATTGATTATACTCAATTTAATAATGTATTTCCAAAAAAATAAGCGATTTTGTTTTAAGTATAACTCTCTACAGGGAATAAGATAGGAAGCATAGGGTAGAAAGTAATGGTATTAGGAGGACTAGTGTACTAAGTCTATTCTACAACTTTTGAGAGGAAGAGTTCTGTATAGAACAAAGCTCTTATTAGTACTAATTGGGGTTAGCTTCTTTTATTCTATGATTATATAAATTATACCTTTTAATACTCCCTTTTGGGTTAATTATGATGATCTATTATTCCTAGTATTTCTATAAATTTCTTGAATATATTCTTAATTAATGGTTTTATCAATCTATCTATTATTATTTTATTTATAGGAATATAACTGATATCAATCTTTCCTTTCTATTTAAGATTTTGTATATAATAATATATAATATCAATGTGCTTTAATCTATTGGTTAATTGTATATTCTTGATTAGGGTTATAGCTTTTTGATTGTTTTTCTTCATATTAATAATGGATTTGTTTTCTATAATAAATTTTCTATATTTTATATCTCAAAGTATTTAGGCTAGTTATTAGTTTTGCTTTACTATAATCAATTAAGTTATATATTCTGATTCAATTATTAATATTAATATAGAGTTCTATTTTCGATTTATTCAGAATACTGATTCTCCTTCTAAAAGTATAATTATTTTTAATATACTTTTTCTATCAACTATATTATTAATATAATTTATATTAGAATAGATTATTAGATTTTGAATTTCCCCTAATTTGAAATATAGTTTATAATTAATTATTATTTATAAATAGTATATTACTTTTTATAATTAATTCATATAGAATTCTACTAAATCTTTTATATATTAACTAAGCTTTCCTAAATTAAAGATTATATTAAGTTTTGAATATATCATTATATATATCAACTCTTTGATTATATAGCTATATTTGATAGAATCTGCTTGTTTATTATTCTCTCAAATTGATTAAAGTGCTTTGTAATTATTCATTAATATTAAAATAGATTTAGATATTCCCTTTATAAATCTATATCTACTTAATATCTTTTCAAAATATTATTCTTAATTAATATACAAAATCCTATTCTTTCTATTTCTAATAATTCTTATATCTAAAAGCTTTGAATTCTCAATCTCCCCCAGATTCTTGGTATTGAAAACAAAAGTAAGTTGTTTGCTAAATCATAGTATATTATTTAAATTCTATATTATAATAGAAAGATTATTGATATATAATAATATTATAATTCCTTTACTAGAGTAAATAAATAAATATAAATTAATCAAACTTTATATAAAATTTCATTTAATAAATCGCTTTTTTATAAAATTATTTTAATTACAAGCTACTTACTTTAATCCATATAGACTATAAAGAATTTTAAGAATATATTCTTATTTAATATTAATTCTTTATAATACAAATAGGAATATCTTTTCTTTTAGTTTTGCCTTAGTGAATATATTCTTTATATTAAAATAATATACCTTAAGGTTTTATAATATTATAATTAATAGAAATAAACAAATTATTACTAATTGTATTATTTATATGAATATATCGAAGAAGTTTACTCTATACTTTTATATAAAGTCTTTTGCTACTAGTTTAATCTTAAATCATTTTAATAATCTATTTATATTTAGTTTTGTTATAAATATTTATTTTATATTAACTAAATTGTTTATTTTATTATTATAGATTTATTATTATATTTAATTCTTTTCCAATTCCTTAATTTTCTAATTAATAGCTATTTGCTATTAATTGCTATAAATTGAATTACTTATTATCTCCCTATATATTTTCAGAATCGATATATCCCTTATTATTATATTTATAATAATTATTTTTAAAATAAATATATAATCTTTACTCTATTATTCTATAAAAAACTCTTAATTCGATTTCAAATCTACAATAATGGTGAGAAATATATATAAGTATTTGATATTTTGAAAGTTGATTTTATTATCTTATTCTCTTAATCTTTTTTTTGTTACTAATCTGATATTCTTTTTAATCTTTATGATTATATTTATTAGATCAATATTCAATAGTTGTACCATACATAAAATAATAATTTGTAAAATAATTGCTAATCTTGATATAAATACTTTAATAAGATTTGGAATTTCATTTTTTGAATTATACTCAATTAGCTCAATAATTATAGATTTTGTAAATACTATATCTATAATTTCAATTATAATCTTATAAGATCTTTTTATTAATCATTATTTCGATAAAATATTTTATATTTTTTATTCTTCTATAAATTCTTTCTTTGAAATAATAAAGTATAACTTCAAATCTATTTTACCTTCTAATAAACCTTTGAAGAATATATAATTACTTGTTTTTATTATTATATACCTATTTAAAGTATATATCCATAATTGTTTTATAATATAATTATTATATTTAATAAATATATCTATTCTTGTTCTATTTATTAGCTTATCTCAACAAGTACTACTAGAATGAGATACTGGATTAATATAAGAATAATACTTTGATTTCTATATTTTGATATATACTATTAATAATATTATTCTAATTCATATCTTGTATAATAACATTTGCTTTTTCTTTACTTATACAATTATATTCTATTATTAACTAATAGATATTTTTCTATATCTTTGTTTAATCTCGAATTCATTTATTCATAATTCTATATATATTCTATTTTTAGTATATATATCTATCTCTACTATATAATCTCAGAATTCAATTAGCATTACTAACTCTTTAAGTATTATATAAACATTTGATTAAATAGTTTGAATTATCCATTTAACTATACCATTTTGATTTGAGATATATATATATCGATTATTATTATATATCTAGTTTATCTTACCACTCCTATAATATTTTCTTAATCTCTAAAGTATTATTAATATATATTACTTTAATCAGAAATCCATTTTCTTATTTTATACCAATTCTTTATTTTTCTAGTTTTTTAATAATATTACTTTTCTTTTTCAAATATATTACTCAAACCTTTTTTATTCAGCTATAGATTATTTTTATAAAATATTGTTTTTTTTGGAATGATATTGAAAATGATTTTGATATATTTAGTAATATAAAAGCTAGTAATTGCTTTTTATACTTTGAAAGAATTGTATTATAATGCTTTTTCATTTTTGTTATTATATATATTTTATAAAATTTTAGATTTATAGATAGCTTGATATCTTTTTTTAAGGTTGTAATTAGATATAGTTTATTTAGAATTCTATATTCCATATATCTAAAATAATAATATTATAGCTAGTATTAATTCAAATAGTTTTGTTATTGGGTATTTGCTTTGTTTGTTTTATTTTCGCTATAAATAATATTCTTAACTTCTAATAAAACTTTTTTATTTTTTTTTATAATTGAAAGTGTCACGGTCAATCCGTGTAAGGGCTGGCGAGGGCACGTGAGTAGCCCCTGCGGGGCTACTTCGGGCCGACGCCAACCCGCGCACAATTATAAATTGTAGAATTTTCATAGTTTAGAAGGATTAATGAAAAGTCTTTGTGCTACATTACACCTAGTTGATTCATTGCTATTATCTACTCTAACAGAAAGTACAATATCAAAATTACTAGTAATAATATTTATAATTATATAAATTCTATAAAAATTATTTATAAATAATAGGATTTTTCTATTTTTATAAAAATATATCTTCTTGTTATTGAAGATTTCCTTAGTACTGAATTTCTTATAAAATAATCTTATAGATAATAAGCTTACTTTTAATCCTAGAATATATAATATCTTTAATTTATATATCCTTCTATTCCATTTTATCTCTATCATTCTATATTCTTTTATAATTAATTCTCTTTTTTTAATCTTTATTTATTTTAATCTAAAAAATAGTTTTAAATTAAATAAAAGGTGAAATTGATTAATTATATATAATAAATAATTAATATCTATAATCTATTCTCTAATATTATTATAGAAGAATATATATACGGATTTATTTGAATAATGATAAGGTTTTTCCTTGTTTGAGATTTCAGCTATAATATAATTATAATTGTATATAAAACGAAAGGTTAGATTGCTAAAGAAAAACTTGTAACTTTTTTAATTTGAATTTGTTTGATATCTTAATAAAAATAATAACTTTTTAATTGAATTATTTTTAATATAAATCTGAATATCTTTTTTATACAAACAATCTTATACAATATAGTCCAGATTATTATAATAAAAACATTCTTTTTCTTTACTTAAACTACAGGATTTTTTCTCAAAACTTTAGCAACAGTTTTTATTATATCGTCCACAATTTTAATAATTTTGTACAATTATTGCTATACTTGTATCTCCATTTTTATTTATTATGAAAATATTTCTGAAAATAGTTGTTTTATTTATAGCTTGGATTTTTTCAAATTTGATTATAAAATCAAGGTTTTGAGTATTAATTGTTTTAATAATAATATTAAAGTATTCTGATAATTTTTAAATGAAGAATTCTAGAATGATATTCTTAATTAACAAATCTTTCTGTATTACTTTTATTTCAATTATCTCTTT